ATATCAACGTTTGATATGAACGAGTTCATCGAAAACCCTACCTACCCTGTTTACATAGTACTTCTAGCTCTTTTATTTTTCGAAATCTCAGTAAATTAAATAGACCCCCAACCGGGCGTGGCGCATTTAACCCATTACACGGACACGTGTTAGACTAGCCCCGACCGTATGCGCTGTCCACCACTGTGATTGGTAACATAGCCTTAAACATTGTGAACGTCATTCAAGTAGCTACTGACTAGTTTATCCTGTAGTGATGTGATATGATAATGGGGCTGAGGCAACACTATTAACTCTCTAGTGGGTTGCGTTATATGAATTGCTTTCCAAGATACTAACGCTTATTCCCAAATTCGCTGTACGAAATTCATTACCTAGGACGTTTAACAGAACCCCAGTTTCACATAGGACTGTTCCAAGAAACTGTGAAAGGTTTCTAAAGCTGTGGTACTAACAGATTCAACAAATCCACTAAGCTGACAGCACGTATTCATCCTGAGTCATGAGGCCTGGGCCCGGTTGCTGATGCCCGCCATAAACCGTTATTAGTACAATCTTGTTCGCAATGTTTCTTCAGCAAGAGAAGCAAGCTCCCATTAGTTACCGATGTCCATCTTAGCTGCTACTCCTGGTCTGCTTCAGACTGGTCTGTTTTTGCAGGTGTTGGTCTTCGTGTATGTGTCCCCTCGCCTATAGCTGTGAACGCGTTCTCGTTATTTTCAGCGTTCTTAGAAAAAAACGACCTTTGAAGAAGCGTTTGAGAGTTTAGCTACGTTAAAATCTGAAAAAAAGCTTTTTTATTTCATCACCTCGGAATCTATGAGTCAAATGATTTGGAAAGATCTACACCCTGACCCCAGACGCCAAACATACCTTTCAACGTTGAATCGATAACATTCTTTCATAGATCCCAACAACATGACCTATAGTCATGCACCGGTCTATAATCAACAACAAATAAATGTGCCGGCTTTGCTAGTAGCATTCCAGTTGGGTAATTAACCGCAGCAGCACGGGACGGTAGATATATTCAACGAAACTCATGCTCTCCGTACGAAAATGTCGATAAAGGCGTAGGCCAACTAACGAACCAGCACTGATTCATGAGACCGGTCTTGTTGGTGTTCAGCAAAGGCATGACTCACAAGACTCACAGGTGGTGAACGCACTAAAAACGTTAAGGGAACGAGAGAAATCCGAAGCATGACTCAGTTAGTCTTCACAGCCCGGTACCAGCCCCAATCCGCACGCTGAATCCACGCTCAGCAGCCCCCGGACTCCATCACCCCTGCCGCCCCCTCGCCGCGAGCGCCCCCGCCAGGCCTAAACTAGGTCGCGCGTCCGCAACGCTTCGTTCGCCTGGCGTCGGTTCGATCAGCGGGGGCGGCATCATTTGTCGCTCGGGGCGGTATTTTCCGCACCATATCCCCTCCATTCGATGTTTGGCATTGTTTTGACGGGGCCGCGGGCAAAAACGGCCGCGGTGAGATGCGTCGGCTACGCGATGGCGGAACAACGAGCACCCTGGCCAGGCGGGAAGGCCTTGGGAAGTGTCTGCAAAAGCTGGCCGCCTACGCCATCCGGCTTAACGCTTTGGACAGCCACCATTCGTTTCAACTGTTGTTACTTTATTTCGGAATAATGCCAACACCCTGATGCAAAACAATTATTTGCTGTCACGCGGGCGGCAGGATTATCTCTGCTGACGTCGTCCGCGCGGAAGCTGGGGAGAACAAAACGTGCCGTAGGCATGCACGTTTCCTGTCCGTGCAGCGCGTCATGTCTTCCACTTCAGAGGTCACGTGTTGTTCCGAACAGGCGCTTGTTTTTTTATCACGTAAATGGTGGGTTGGTGAGCTCCCACGGAAGCAAGCTGAAAGGCGCTGATCACGTAAACCAGAACCACTTGACCCTGTAATTCGACAGTTGGCCCTGTGACGGCATTCGTGTTCTGCCCCAGGTGCGTTCAATGCGCTCATCACGTTTAAGGAGAGTTCCAAATCACCACCCTGTGGCGATTCGCTCAGCACAAACTTGATGGACAAACTAGATCACTTCCAATAGAAGCACCTAAAACGCGTGACGACACTGATGACCCTGTGACGTAGGAGCACCAACCGTTCCTGACGTGCTGCGGACTCGGATAGCACGTGCGTGATAACACGCCCGCTGTGCCCAAGGTCTCCACGACGAGCAGCACGCGCCGCCGCCGCCGCCAGCGGAGTCTGTGCCGCGCCCCTGCAGCCGGCTAGCCCTCCTAATCTAGTTAATGGGCCGGCCGCATTACGGCGATGACGTGGTCGTGTGTGGCGGCCGCCGACGGGGATCATGCGCCGCCCAAACTGGCCGGTGGCGGGGCGTGTAGGCTGACGGCTCGCGACCGGAACCCACCCGCCGGGACGCGGCCCAGGCTCGGGGCGTGATGAGCTGACGCGAACCGACACCACCTCCGGCGGGGATCAGCTTTGGGAGTGTGGGCTTGGCATTGTTTCAGCACCTCTGTGATGCTGAGTTGCTGCACTCAGATCCTCGCGTGAGTCGCCGCTGTCGGCCACTGTTTCAGAGTGAAAGTCTTCTGTTGTTACTTGTAAGGAAGTTCATCAATATACTATTGCTTTGTAAGCCGCTGAAGTTCACTGAAGCAGGCACAGATCAATATAGATAGGTCAATGGAGCATAGATCAATTGAAACAACTTCGCTGGGCCGATACAAGAACGAAACATCTGCGGAGCCGTCGACTAAATGCAGTGAAATACTGCGTACAATAAAACGCTCACGCCATACCTTTTCGTTGTTGATTAACCAGGTCAGGTTTGCTGCCGGCCGAGACTGCTCAGAGGTGCAGTTTATTCTTATGACGTCACCCGTGTCTCGGCTGATGATGTCACTTGTCGAAGTGTATGGCTCCTTTTTGGGCACTTCTGCAAAATAGATGTGAACATTTTCAGCGTTTGGAAGTGTCTTTGATAAAGCGGCGGCGACTTCCTAAGGTACATCGACGGCGACCACAGTGATAGCCAATGAGTTTTATCCATCAGGCATAGCGAAAGAAAATCAAGTATTGAAATTGAAACTATTTACTTTCATTGAAATGTCACGGAATGTTCACGGTCGCCAATGACGCCACTCTATACCACTTTATAAGTTTGTATTAAGCCGCAATTTTATGCCATGAGATTCGTTGGAAATCTGCGCACATGGAAGAAAGACGATTCGGCTAGCCTAATGCTGCGAATAAGGATAAGTCGCCAAACTTCAGTGCGCTTTTTAGAATAGGCCGGTGATGACAGGACAATCAAAGTGGGCGATCGAAACCAGGCGTGAAAGAAGGCTTAGAAATCATTATTTAATGTAAACCTAATGAGAACCACGCGCAGCAGGTATAGTGGAAGCACCAATCAGGGAGTTTGAATGAAGACAAGGCACTCCATTATAATGCTTCGGGGCATAGCGAAGAGTAGTGAAATTTTTGTGCGGTACGAATACGCCTTATAGCACGAAGCGTCCTGTATCTTTGGCAGGGGACGCATGAAAGGCCAAGAATCAAGGAGCTTACTGTAACTCAAGGATTCGAAGGTCTAATTGGTTGTGTTGTGATGCCCCAACGTGTGTTTGTTTTGAACCACAAAGTTGAATTAAGTCTGGTTTGAGTCGCTTTGTTTTATGCGTTATGCTAAGAGGCGATTTTTCCTGTTAAAATAAACGATCATAACAATCGTTCACAAACCTTTAAGAAAACTCGATTTCCATAACTGATGACAAAGAAGAATAGACCAACGGTACTTCCCTCCATTTTGGAATCTCTACTAGCCAATACCTTAGATGTTAAGAAATTGGCATATCAAATGTTACATCTATTTGCGATTACATGAAAAAGAGGAACAACTCAACTGTTAACATAACTTAGATAGTACTGAACTTTAATTTCCGTTAGCTCTGTTTAACTTCTAATGAACCCTTTTAATGCTAAGGGCACCAGGCCCAACTCAGTGTCTTTCGTCGCACTTCAAAGTCGTTTCAGCTGGAGAAATAAAATCTAATGAAGTTTTTATCTATCCCTATATCACATCCTGACAGCGTAATGACCTACAACATTATCCAAAAACTTCAGGCTTATGTTGCGAGACAAGGTTGGTCGATTTAATACTTTTCAAAAGTATTCACCGACAAAGATCCGTTCACTTACGAGAGGTCATATCTGGTTGAACTAATATTTTAACGTAATGTATAGCATGCATAGGCATTTACGGTGTGTAATGAAAGCTGATTTTTCATAAATGGATGGAGAGAACATGAAAGAAGGGCAGTACAATGATGAGCATACGTTGGTCTCGATGCTGAAGCTACAATGTCTGTTTGCCCACATTATCACGTGTCCCCACACCGTCAGCCCCGCTCACCGACCACTGTGACGAATCCGGTGGCAGTGACGGTGGCGAACGTGCCCTCCGTGGTGATCTCACAGCCGTACTTGCCCGCTGTGTCGAGGTCCACGCCTCGGAGGACCACCTGAGAGACGTCCGACAAGGCCTCCTGCACGGCACAGCATCGGCACAGATGACCAGCATTCGCGTGGCGATCAGCCAGGCGACGGATCATCGCACTGCTGGCGACAAGATGCTTTTGCAACGCGTTAATGTGTCATGTGTAGGATATTGCTAGCAGCTACAATTTTTTCATGCTTCTTCATTCCATCTGTCTCGGAAGCACTGTTTGTCGAAACACCGCAACAAAGGCAGAAATGCCTTCAAAGCGCACCAGAAGCGTCGAACACCCCACGGCAGCCCCACGGCTTAGCTTACGTCGACATCGGTCCCGTTAACCGGGAACACGTGGTTGGACGTGGGCTCGTAGCGGTAGAACTCCTCGCCGTCCTTGTACCACTTGGCCTGGTAGATCTTCTTGCCCTCCGGGTCGACCTGACAGACGAGAGTCAGGCTATCGCCGCGGGGCACGGCGCCGTCGATGGATGCTCTCAGCAGGCGTATTCCGGCACAGCCTACCGGCACAGGCCGTCGCGCGTCAGCAGCCCGAGAGAGAGTCTGGCGCCCGGCTGAGCGCCTAACCTACGGTAGCGTTTGTTGCCGGTTCGGCCCTGTAATTGTGACTTGTTATTTAGGCTACTTCTATAGCACAAAGCTATGCACAAAACAGACGCAGCATCACGTGAAAAGCTTGTCTAGCGGCTCACGTCATCAGCAGAAAGACAGCGAAAGACGCGCGCTGTGGAGGCTTCCACGAATAAAATTTACTTCGTTCGATTCACCCGCTGCGCATTGGGTCGTTGCGATACCTACCCGTTACCTATTCCCCATTGCCTATGCTCACACAAGAACCATCTTTTTATGATTTAAATTTCTAGGCTCCTATGAAAGCTCCTATGAAAGCTCCTAATTATAAAACATATCCGGAAAATTGCACACAGGGATTTGCTGCTTTCATTTGATGATTGCATAATACTTGAACTTAGCTGCTACTCTCCAAGATGCACAGTTAGCACCATTATGTGATATTTTTTGACAGGAAAGTACTTTCGCGAAATGAGCTAAGCAATTAAATGACCAGCCCCGCGCACCAAATTTGCCAACAAACGAGTTTTCTCCGGATTTAACCCGCTTATTCCTCAAAAGTTTGGGGCGGAATGGCTGGAGCCTAAGTCAGGCTGACGCCCGCATAACTAAATAGAGAACTACATCCCTGACTCTTGAAGCATGATCTGGTATTTCTTGAACCCCTTACACATAACTGTACTCATGCCCCTAATTTTCTTTAAAAAAGCTGGACCCATGCCGGCCCATTGCACATTAAATATGGGCACTAATTGCTTACCCGACATGTGAGGAACCTTGCTACAGAAAAAAAGAATATCACCTTTGTCATACGCGAGAGCACTCTACAGTGCCTACCCGGGGGGCACAAAACCACAGTTCTAGGCAAAATATTCCATCCGCGTACAGCTCCGTGACTAAAGATCCCTAACGCACATTCCATTCTCTGCGCCGAGTGAGCTGAAGCACCGATGCAACGATCTCCTGAACTTAACGCCATGTGACTTTCAAGTGACTGGGGCCAGCCGCTGCTACCTTTGCCTCTAATAATGTTAGAGCCACCACAAGTTTAGAGGTTAATGTCGGTTGATTCTCTCTTGAATGTCAGGTAACTACGGGGTCAACTGTCTGAAGTGAAACGGTGTCACCAATACATTTTTTTTTTAGCTAAGATCGCAAAACTTTCAGCATCAAATAAATAAACACGCTTGTGCGGGGAAGCGATAAACGGTTTGGCAGACCACGCATTTATCATGCCTTTGCTTTATAAGTGCAGTGCTTTTGATGAGGCTCAACTTTAAGCTGTCGGCGCCGATAATGTCAGCTTGGGCGTTTATCAGCCACGTTTCACGTGCAAAGTAAACTGGGCACGTCGATGCCGCTGGTTTTCAACACGTCGCTCATGTTTGCGTGCTATGCGCATACGATGTGTTGCCCGACGGTGGCTATGGGCATGCATATATGCGTGCTGCCCCACTCTGCTGCCCAATCTGCCCAGCCGTCACTCGCTCCGTCCGTGAATTTCGGCGGCCAAGGGTCGGACAAACCCGACTGGTGTCCGAGTAGGTAGAATGGTATCAACAGATAATGCAAACTAGACCGTTCCACAGTTCAACAGATCACTACGCGCATTTCAGTGCACTCAGTTCCTTCTCTTAGTGCAGCTAGCGTGCAGTGCTAGTCAGAGCGATTCAACGGGGGACAGGACCTCAGCATTATATTAAACTCGAAAATGTAAAATTATCAAGTCACCAAAAGGCTAAAGGCCGCTTGTCGGGGACAGGGACATATCTAGGGGATCAGGTGCTGCAGCGAGATGGGACTAACCAATACTGATAACTAATAAAATATTTCTACAATGCTGGCAATTGATACTGGAGGAGCAAACGGAGATGGTGAGCTCACCCGACGTTCGCGCCCCCTCGTTGGCGTGTTGTACTCGCATCAACGTCTAAGCTACTGCATAGCCAAAATTTTCTTGGCGGCGATGGCTATCATTTCGGGCCCAAAATGTCGATTGAAAAGTTTAATGTCCTCCTTGTGTGATGCTGCTGTTGGATCCGACCACAACGAGGCCAGATATGCTCACGTTCATCTTCAATATTTGTTGTAAACCCCACCTGAAGACTATGGGAGCTGTGCATTCATTGTTTTATGTTCGAAATGTTTTCTGCTCATGGAAGAGATTCGTCATGAATTTGGGTGGCGCGTGCTTACTGTGACACCATTCTACTTCACATAATCTGTTTCATATCGTGGGGATACCCGGCATACCACAGTGAGAGGGAATTCCGAGTCATTTAAGAGCGACCAAGAAGACGCCACGAGTATCGGAATCGTACGGTGCTGAGAATGCTTTTCATTGAAATGGTAGGAGGCTTGGCTGGCTGATGGCGGACAAGAATAGCGACGAGCGAGAGCTTTCGGATGTAGAACGCGTGCACAAATCTGTTCTCCAGACATGGAGTAACCCCAAACGGAATTTTCTACCAGGTCAGGTGAAGGCCTGATTGATTTCTGGAATGGCCAAACAGCAGGCATCGGTATTCAGCTCCGGGTGGTGCTTCCATGAATGTGAAATGCGTCCGTGACCTCCCATGCCCCGTGGGCTGGCTCTGCAGAAAGGTCAAGACAGTCATCTGAGGAACGATGGCAAAAGGCAAACGGAGGCGGGCCGACGACGTAAAGGCATGCTGCTGCAATAATACATGCTCAATACTTAAGCTAGTTTTCGGCAGTATTAGTTATTCCCGCCAACATTAAAACCAAACTAACTTCAGGCCCGCTCATGAAAGGTCGACATTTCACGAACTACAAGCAAGTGCAGACGCTTCCTTCTACCGAATCCGCAAAAGCGCGCTTACATAACACGAACTTGCCCGGATTGCACCTCAACGATTGCCAGTGGCACTGGCAGCACGCTGTGTGAAAAAGCTTCATTGCAGTGCTTTAACGCTCAGTTCACTCCTTCCCACTTTCATATTATTACCTACCAGTCAGGTTTAGGACCTGTCACGACAAGCTCACTGGGCCCATGAGCCCATTGCTCGAGGGTCTGTTCGACACCGGGGTGAAGAGCTCGGACGCGTTTGTGAGCGTTCGGTTCTGGGAACCACCACGGGACTAATGCCTCTTCACAGCGCTGGCAGCCACTTCCTTAAGCCACCTGGCTGGGTGCCGCGCTCAGCCTCGTGACTTCCCGGGTCTTAGAATTTGTGAAAGACAGACTAATGGATTCTCCCCTACCCGCCATTAGTTCGCACGGCCACTGGCTTTCGGGGGGCCAAATAAGCCTCCGTCTTCGCCGATGCGGGCGATGCTGACTGGGAGCTGTTGTGAATCATCGATGGCGACCGCGCTCCGCGGCGTTCCAGATATAGTGGGGCCTTCCGAACGGCGCGGGCGTGTGTCATCCGCTCCATAGCGTGGCTCCCGCCGGACAGCGCGGCGCTCGACCGACGTCAGAAGCCCGGACAGCCGGCCATTGGAGCTCCAACAGTCGGGCAGCGGGTGCCAGATAAGCCGGATGCCTGGATGTGACGCCAGACATCCAGACAGACAGGAGGACAGACGGACAGCCACACACCGGAGATCAGACTACCGGACGGGTGGCACATGCACCGGACTGGTATCACATTCATACACCGGGCATGGGACGACCAGACACTGGAGATCGTCCTAACGGATAGTCACCACCGGCATCACAGACAGTTATCTCAAGTATCGGAGGGCACCACAGCCGGACACTCGGCATCACAGCCGGATACTCGGTATCACAGCCGGACACCTGGTGTCATATGGCCTGGTGTGAGCGCGTCTTGCGGCGATTGTCAGCTGCCGAAGGACTTCGGCAAGCGTCTGGCAGATGGGCTGGAAATGCCTGTCGACCAGGCGTAACTTTCATATGCATGTGCGGGCAAAGGGCCAAGTCGGGCCCGCTGATACATTCGGCAAGCCATTTATTTCGATCGCGGTCATTATTCTGCTGTGGGACACACTGCTAGGTTATGGCAACCATCCATTTCAAATGCCATGGCGCTTTTGTTGCAGCGACGAATGCATATGGGAGGCTATGTCTAATCTGGTCGGACAATGGCTTTCTTTAATGCGGTGGCCGCGCCGCGCCATGATCAAATGCTTTTGATGGACAAACGGTCTCCAACAGCGTCCGCTGGAGGGAAACCTGGTGCAATGGTGGTCTGAGATCAACCAAGTCGGAGGGTGGGCGGACCAGCGTATTTAAGAGCTGTGCAGTTCCCAGAGGACATATGCGCTATATCTGCACACGACGTCAGTTTCAGAGCGACCCAACACATCCAATATCAAAACCATGCCGTGACCTAGCAGGGCAGCAGCCTGCATTCAACAGCCGTGCTCTGGGTCAATCGGCGCACGCTCCAGCGCGCTTGGAAGCCCTCCACAGCTAGAGCCGCGGTCGGGTTCAACGCGCCCAGGAGCAGGGGGCGGCCTGACGGGCGACACCGCAGTCGGCACGCGCCGCAGCCGCGGCCGGCTGGTCGCAGAGGCGGCCAGCACCTGGCCGCCTCCCGGTCACAACGCCGACGTTTGTCGCGGACAAAGAGTGGTCTCGGGGCGTTTGTGCTTGCTCAGCGCCAACAACTGGACGGCAAACAGCGCCACGGATTACGGCGCGGGCGGTTTCAAAAGCGGCGCCGTTATTGGTCGGCTCTCAAACAGAGCCGAACACGGACCGAGCGTCAGTGAAATGGGTTGATGTTTGATGGTATTAGCACCAGGAACACCGACGACTCCAGGTGTGTGAATTTACCGTATTTATGGGTGGGGATGGGACAATGTTGATAAAATATATCTACGTTATAGTCCGCAAAGCTTGAAGGCTTTGTGCAACAATGAATGTCTAATTGTACGAAAGCACCAGCACGGCAGTTTCTTTGGGGCGTTTTCTTGGTGTTTTCTGTGTGAAACACAC